TTGTAAGGACAGAACCTGACGAAGTGCCAGGCTCCACAGTGCCAACATTGTGAAGGTGGTGTCTTCTTTGAGCCTTTGTTTTGCTTCGGACCAGAACACTGCGAGGTCGATTTGGTTGGACCAGATTTGACAAGGCCAGGCTGTTGCGTAGACTGATGTATTGCATGAACTTCGGAACCGCCATGACCCCCAAGTTGAACCATCGCCGTGTCATGCTTCAGGTTAAGCAACCGTTGACACCCCAAGGACACGGCCTGCAGCGTCATGGATGTGTTCTGCTCGATGCGGCTGAGGAGTCGGGTACGGAGTTCTGCATCCTTCGGGTATTGTAGACCACATATGAAACTCAGCGACTTAAACTGATCTTCCGTTAACGATCCGAGTTCGAACCGTTCGCATTCTCGGTTCACGATGCCAGAATATGTGAGGAAGTCGTCTGTATCACTCTTCACTAGCTTCATGCATTGATAACGGATGTTGAAAAGTGACGTTTTCTCACCGAATATTTGTGAAAGCGTGTTGACCGTTTCATCAAAAGTGAAATCGCGCGGGTTTTTTGGCAGAATATAGTTAGCGTACTTATCATGCTCTGCGGGTCCAAGTTTGCGGAGCAGGAGGCGAACCTTCCAACTATCATCTTGAAGTGAAAAATCGACCCTGAACAGGTCTTCATAGCGACGAAACCAAGCATCAAACGTTATGCCAGCTGAGGGTTCATAGCAAAATTCGTTGATACTGCCAGCGATTCCATCAACCGACTGTGGGACGCTCGACGCCGCCGGTGAAGCCAAAGATGTAGTTGATAGTCGCTCCGTAAGTACTTTGATGAGTTGCAGTTGTTGCTCAAACATTATTTTGAGTTGTTCTGCCTCCATCTTGCGTCGCCAAATATGTTACGGTTCTGTCACGCAGCGAGCAAACAATATGATAATGCGGATTGTGGCAATACTCTATCCCCAGCTGTGTTGCTTGATCCAGACTCCTAGCACGGCGAATAGTAAGAAGACGAAAACCACGGACACAAGCTTTAATAATCCAACAACACACGAATCAACAGGCGATGCCCGGAGCTTCCGAACCGAAGTCAGTGGAAAGAATGGTATCCTGTACGTGGTTGGATTTTAAATTCCTTTGGAGTATCAATAGGCCATTGATTTTTCACAGTTTGACCTTGAAGATGCCGGGAGTGACTTATTCAATTCATCCGGCTGAACAAGTTTAGTATTTCTATCTATTTCCAGGCCATATCTTATATATAAGATATAAATGTTGCCCCTGGACAGATAGCAACAAAAATACCGATGGGATGCATTCAATTTTATCCTGGAGTCATGCTTGTTTTGCTCAACACTGCTTTTTAGTAGGAAATTACGGCGTTCTTTTTAGACGTTCAAGTATTCCAAAAACTGTGTTGAAACAATTGAACGGTCATAACGATCGATCTTCAGCGGTATTCCTACTGCTCACCAGGTCTAGCAACCTTGTAAGATGCTACCAGGAGAACTAAAATCAATAAAGTGATTTAATTACGGTGGACAACGATGAGCGTCAAGCTGGTGGTGCCAATTAAAACTCTGCGTAGTCTCTTCTACACGTAGAGGCTTATTTCGGGATATCTACGATCGTATGAAATCAGCAATTTCCAGTAATGCACAACACCGCCAGCTGTGCCCATTTAGGTCACATTCCTTTGCCGTGGTAGAACTTCACTCTCCCCAGTATACTACTATTCATATACAGTGGAGAATCTTCTGTAGAAGAGTCAAATGGGGAAACAAGAGTGGGCTGAAAACTCAGTGCTTCTGATTTGCGACCTGGCGTAGTATCAAATTAAGTCTACCGTAAAACCAGGTCAAAGGGATTAAATTACAACACCACAAATCAGTGCTGGTCAGCAATATGGTCCAGCAGTCAAAAATTCCTCAGTGGAATAGATGGGCACATTTTTAAGGGAATGAAAATGGCTGAGGGGCAAGACTGGTTATGCTCTCAAATGACCTTTTCTTGGAGTCATTTGTATTCATCACTTTTATCTGCTTTTATTTTCATTGTAGTTGCCCACAATCTACTCAAAGGATCAAACACCTTTCACAGTTGATCCGGTGGAGGGTAGTGTTCGGCCGTTTTCAGAAAAGGAAATTATAATCGCATTTTGCCCGCAGGAGGGCAAGGTCTACAATCAAACTGCCTATTGCGAAATCACGGGTAGGACAGAACGGTTGGCGTTGCATGTTAAGGGAACTGGCGTGGGACCAAAAGTTCAATTTTCTTTCGCCTGCTTGGACATGGGCAAGATTTTCATCGGGTCTAAACACTCATACGAGCTCGTCCTGTCGAACGTTGGCTGCATTGACGCGATGTTCACAATTCGAACGGCCGACAAACATTTTGGCACCTGTTTCGCTTTCACACCGGATGATGGGCTCATAACTCCTGGCGGTTACCAGTTAATTCAAATCACATTTTGTTCACCTTCACTATTGGGAGAGTTCGATGCAGTGTTTGACTTCGTATTTGATGGTTGTCCCGAACCGAGGCCCGTGCGATTTCGGTGGGTAGCTGCAGCGATTCAGATAAATGTTTGCATTACTACTTTTGTGCAATATTAGTTGGATATCGCCAGATAACTATTTCATTTGAATTTGGAATGTTAGTGCCTAGCGTTACAAGAAACTAGAACGGCAACAAGAAAATTAGGCAAATGATTTGCCTAGCTAGACGTTGAATTGTCTGAAGATTGAAGTAAAAAGCAGCTTTTCACGTGCGCACTCATCTGCATATTGACTTGACTTTGACGGAAGATATCTGGAACCCAAATGAATCTCACATTTACAATGTTCTTTTTCAATGTTTAAGTAGAACATGAGGTTGAAGAAACCTCGGGAACGGCGCCTACCTAATGAACTACTAGAAGGACGAAAGTGGTCATCGGTTGTTGAAAAGTAGTCAGCATTCTTATGAACGGTATATCCATTCCGTACCTCTTCACGTCCCACTAACGAAACAAAACTTATTGAAGACGGGTGTCGGAAACTGTGTTGGGAGCAAGAAATAACAGAATGTTGTCATATTTACTTATATTTCTCGATAAAATCATATTGTATCTTGCGAAACATGAGTTATGGTTGTAAATTGGCTGGTAGAGTAACCAATAAACAACCGTAAAAATATCGGGAATGATTGCGCTAAATGATATGCAACCTCTCGTAATCATGGTCGATATCATCACTGACAGCAAAACCAGTACAAGTACACAGATAATTAGGCATTTCACAACCGTGTCAATTCATATAGATGAAGTTGTATAATGAAGGCAATAATGGAATGGGAAAAATAGAGATTTATCGTTAGTTTTCCACAAGTATTCTAATTGCTCTTAACTCCAAGAACTCACTCAGATAATCGGTCAGTCAGCCACTAAGTTTTCAGCCATGAACGATGTACGAAGAATCCAGCCGCTTCAATTTTGCTCACTGGACAGGGTTGACACCACGAGCGTCCCAGCACAAGGTCAACCAAACTCTGGGTGCTACATGAGCTTTTGTAGAACCTTCGTACATGCCCTGTATAGTATACCATGAACTTGCCGGCTTTTGGGTACGGAAAGAACACTAAGGAGTTCCGTAGCTGTTCACTGAAAATGTCCCATCAAATTCTTGGGATGGCTACCTTTGTCAACAGAAATCTAATGATATTTCATTTTATTACGAAGTTTCTAGGGTATGTATACTTCCCTGCATTTTACTAGGGAGTATGGTGCCGTGGAATCCAGCAAGAAAATTGGGTACGTGATCGATACATGGCGGAGCCGTAACCCACACGACAATTATGTGAACCTTTTTGGCGCTGGACGAAGTTCTTCAGGGTGGTGGAATGTGCCACCGCTGAGGGTCCAGCTTAGCGTAGAAACTGTTGTCTATGAAATTGGGAATATTATATTTAGAAGGAACATGATCCACTACTTTCACGCTCGTTTTTCGCTGAACGGACCGAACAAATCAACGGGTTACCAGGATAAACGAATCGTTTTTTTACTGACACTCACGTTTATAATATAACAGCTGTTTGAAGGAAGGTCTCAGTCGCTTGGCTAACGTTTCTAAACATCTATGATTTGATCAGTAGCAAACTGTAGAAGATACCAGGTTGCAAAAAGACGTGTTTGTACTTTGTCTACCACAGTCAATTAGAATCCGCAGCGTACCATCTGAATAAGGGATATCTACACAATTCATCAGCAGTTGAAAAGAAGGAATAGGGTCCAGATTCTCAAAACAAAATCCTGCACATTAATGGTACACAAACATTGCGAGAATTACAGATGCTTAAGATGTTCTATGATGCGAATTTTTCTTACCATGTCGTGTCAGCTGACTACCAATTACACTCGAGGCACCTGGGATTAATAAAGGGAAAACAGTCTATTTAAGTTTCTAAGTAGGCCTCCAAAAGACCAAAGTGCTAACCAAAAAATAACGACAAAACGGCAGTATTTTTCATGTTTTTATGCAGAGGAACCGTCCGACAAGGGGTTACAAGGAGTGTGATTTTCTGGTTTCATTCAAATGCATTTTTCTAAGCTAATATCTTTTGGCAGAATATACCTTAGGCTTTTGGTTCTCCTTTCAGTGGAGCAGTCGTGGGGCCAACTTTTCATACAAACGTCTCCGAAGTTGATTTTGGCGAAATATCCCCAGGTGAACTAGTCTCATGATAAGTTATTAATTGTTTTTAACACTTGCCAGGCAGTTTGGTTGAATGTTTACGTTCAGTGATGGTATTCTGTTTTACAGGTGATATTACAATCCACTGGGTGTAATAAAAGCATACAGACATAGAGCAAGAGAGGCCACCGCTCCTCTATGGGAGTGGTCGTACACTGAATACTTTGCAACTGCAGACTCTAAATGAGTGAATCCAGTCCGACTGGATCTGTCGTCCAGAACGTTCCGCCAAGGTCATCAGCTGTCGGCTCAGAGATTCTTCCAGCAATCAACCATTGCTCAACCTGGTTTTATGCTTCAGAATTTTCACCCTGAAACATGACGACTTTATGACATTAGGTCGACTGAAACTGCTTACTATGGTTTTTGTCCGCAATGACGTTTGATGATGTTTGATTCATCGACATCTATTAGTCAATTTTTGGCCCGCTTGCCAGAGTCAATGCCAACAGGAACGGAAAGTATGAACAAACACCTCGAGGACTGCCTTCCGTTTTAGGCTAATATCTTTTAGTCGACTATGGTTCAGTGAATCCATGAGTCACGGATACCTAAGCCATGCATGCTTCTCAGACTCATAGGAGTTCTTACGTATGTGCGTATCCTATGCTGTGTGTTTTTTCCTCTTTTTTAAAGCTGTGATTCTTCATCGCCTTTATCTGACCATTATGATAACTACTTAAGAAACATCGGTACTTACGAATCAGGCTTTTTCCACTAAGTTGTGAGATAGCTAGCATAAGAAATTTGTAGGTCCGAATCACGGTGGCTCAAAGCACCTTCATCATACGCTTCAAGTGGTTCTAGTAACTTAGTTTACTATGTAATTCCACGTCGATTTCGTTTGGTGAAATAACATGTCTAGGTCATGTCATGGTGGCGCCTCCAAGAGATATGGTATAAATTAAAACGAATCCAACTGCCCTACTTAACGTAAAGCTAAGTCATGGTGCCCCCTGGGCTCGAACACAAAAGCACTATGACTGTCTCTCCAGTGGATCGATTCAGTGTGGATCAAGCGCCGAAATCAAACATATATCTACATGGACGCTGCATTTTCAGGGTCTCATATTGTCAAGTTGATTTTGCGGACGTTCATTCACTGAAATATGCATACACTCTCCAAGTTGTCAGTTCATGTTTTTCCAAGATACCTGCATTCTAGAGACCCTGTACATTCCATTAGAATTCACTGCTTGTCAACGCTTCAGTGAGCAGGTTGTTGAGCTTGGTTCCCTTCAGCTCTCAACCGGTTCAGTTAATAATCTGGCTACTCGTAAGTAGTCAGAATATTTGCCCGAATAGTCAGTTCTCCGTGGATGCTCTGCTAACTATGGAACCAGGGAGTTAAATTTCGTCGAAAGTTTCCGGTAAACATACGGCCTTCTGGCAGAATCCAAGTTATTAAGATAGGTTTCTTCAGGAGAGTGATGTATTGACGTCTGGTCCATACAATGGAGGTCGGCAGTTTAATTTTTATTCACCCACCGACCAGCTGCTCGTCCAACTGTTAGTTATTTTCAACTTAAAAACAAGGTGGTTAATCGATCAGATACCATGTGCGTGTCGGTTTCGGAACTGTAATTTGTTTGAGGACTTGACGCTCGATTCAAGTTCTACACTGGTCAGTTACCTTGCAATGAGTGATTTGCAAAGTTTACAACCTTTAACCACGCGAATTTTCAGTTTTGACCTGTGCCCTTAGTCAGTGGACTGGGTGACTTCAGTTTACTTCGGAAATGTTTCTATCCGTTAATTCTGTTGATCACTGATAGCTATTTCCTGGTTAAAAACAAATCTGTATTTGTACGCCTGCAGGATTTTCCTCGGAAAAATGGATCGATTTGAAGAACACGTCGCTGATTCCGATGGAGTTTGCACTGCGTGTTCAGAAAAAGTCCAGTACACTGATCGGTACCGACTGTCGGACTCGCAGCTCACCAGATTTATGCGCGAACTCAGGCACACACTTTGAGAAGGACCGGACAACTAACAGCGCCAATACCCGGAGGGTGCGCTTTACGGACTCGAATGATTTAACTGTTCAACCAAGCGCTGGTCTCATTGATCCAGTGAGCTCAACAAACTTTATGATCTCCTGCAGTCCAACTGAACTAGGTTTACAGGAATATGTGGTGGTGATTGACGTGGTCGGTGTTGGCCAAGCTATTGAGCAAATTCCTGTCAAGATACGGTAAGTATTGGGTTTTCATCTACATGGTCACAAACCGCTTTCTGGCCGCAAAAATCTGTCTGTAGTTTTTGAAGCGGTAGTTTAAGGAGGGGTCGACATACACTTGAGGACGTCGATATCAAGTTCATCCTGATCTTATCCGCACAGTCACCCGGGCCGAGGTAGTTGTATAAGAAACAAAGTTAAGATTGGTGCATGAAATAGGATTTGTAGTGTGAATATCACTGCTGATAACACTTTTGCCTGAAGTATCCAATCCGATCACTGTAGCTCGTCTGGTCCTGTCTGGGCTTGAGCAACCTGGAAGTATCCCAGCCCTCATGCTTCCTTTGGTTGCATGGCAGCTACGCACCGAAAGAGTGGTACAGCTGAACGATCCTCCGTTCAGTAAGTTCACAGTCCACAGTTCAAATACAGCGGCGCAGAATTTTGAAAAGCCGATGACTTCTCCAGAGCAGAACGACAAAGAGCGACTGCTCTACAGTAGCTCTTAACTACTGTTTCACGTGAAATGTTGACTTAAGCATTTATTCTATCAGAAGGTGACGATTCATTTGGTACTCCTTTTGAAAAACAAGTGAACATTCCTCGTGTCCTCATGGAGGGCACTGAAAGCATTCTAGGTGAAACAAGAGAAACTTGAGCTCCCGTCTGCACCGTGGCATTGCAGTACACTTTGGAAACTCTAAACCAAAGCACCAAAGCACCGATCCCGCAACATTCATTTGATGAGTCCCAATTAGGACGAAACGCACGAGGAATTTCCTCTCATGACTATCAAATTTCGGTCTATACCAGCTTGGAATCCAAATCTGATTGGTTTGATGACTCTTAGGCTCCCCGCAAAGATCACTAAAGTCCGAAAACATTAACTTGCCTTTTTTGATCTAGTGGGTTTTCGAAGCGATTTTCCCACAGTGAGTGGAGAAGCGAATTCCCTCATCGGTTTTCCCAACTTTTTAATGAAGCTTCTTGTACCACTTTCCGCACAAAGCCACTTGAGAGCTACGCAACATGGAACAGCTAGTTTTCTGGAATCTCAGCTCCAATGCACACCAAACTATAATTCGAGGAGATAGCATCCCTGCTGGGAACAGACTGTCTCCTGTCTTTAGAGCTCTCGTAGTTTCAGTTAGGCCTTTCCTGCATCTCGTTTGCCTATAAGAAAGTGAAATACGTATCTGCCATCCCGACCTATGGGGCAATTTGACGATTCGGTTGGCTTTCCCGGGTCCTAGGGATTCACTTTAATCCATGCCTGCCGGTTTGCTTGAAGATATTACCCGACTACCAATAAGCGCCCAAAAGGAGTCAGCCGGTCGACTTTAGCAGAGTTTGGTAGGCTATGCTCCTAACTTAAGTCGCTCACTTCAGTAATGAACAAACGGTCGATAAAATAGCGATAACATCACTTACTTCGTTACTCTATGAGCAGCAAGGCGTGTTGGGGCTTGCTAGGGGCCTGAGTGACCGGATAGATAACACCATGGGCTCGCACCCTGCTTATTCATCACTGTTCCTCATCCATCCTAATAACAAGAGCTTGTTTCGATCGTAAGTTTTCTGTCTCACACTATGATGCACGAACGCCCTATACGTTTACGCATTTATTCAAATTGTTGTAGACTTGTTCCCTAGCAGTTGTCGTATCCGGTTGGACAAAGTGTACCCATCCCAACTCAGTGAACACACAATGAACTCTTAAACACACAACTAACACTCGAAAATTTGCAAAAGAACTGGAAAAATTGTTGGTAAAGTGGATGAAGACTTACCTCGACTTTTTTACAAGTTGGAACCAGTTTTCGTAAGCTGAGTAACCGAGTGCATCAGTATTCATCCGTAATGGACCCGTTCACATGAAACTACTTTGTATTTCGATAAATACACTCATTTGCAAATCAGTTTGGTTTTCACGAGAGACTCAACTGAATCTCTCGATTGTGCTATTCTAAAACTGAATGTGGCAGCGAACTTGTGAGAGTGTTCCTTTATGAAAATATGCTGCGATATCTCGAATATCGTGCCAACTGAAATATAAGGCGGCCTGTGTGCTGCACATTCAGTTGTGAAATATTATAAACGAGAGATTCAGTTGAGTCTCTCGTGATGAGCCCCAAGAAGGGTGAAACCGGTCGTGGGCTGTCGAAGAGTTTTCAGCAACCTGGTGAGTAGTTTCCCCTACTTCGTATTTCATTAAACTGTTAACATCATTTCAGTATATTTACAACAGAGGGGTAAATGAAGATTTACCCGCTATTCTGAAACCAGCGCTCGACAGAAATCGGCAGAATATTTGCCTGAAGAATGAAAATCCTTTTGTAGACGTGATACACTACTCATAAACTTGCTGAAAATTCTTCAGCTGGGTCCCAGGTCAGTCTTTCTCAAAATCTGTGAACAGGTGTATTTGGCGAAACTCCTTTTGTTGTTATGCGAAAGTCAGCACTCACGTTTTTCATGATACCTACTTGCGTGGAAAAAGAAGTTGTGTATACCATGTATACCACCGTGTATACCGTGTTGCTCATGGTAACCTACGACTCTGGGTAAACAGATATCCGTATGAAGATGTCTGCATACAAATAAGGAAATAAACAACTAATCTAGCGTCCTATTGTTCTGAGCAGACATAAGAGGTAGGTGGTGAAGTTTGCCCATCCTGCCGGTAATTTCTACATCAAGCTACGTTTCCAAGATGTTTAGTCACTCAATAGACTTGAGTGGCAAAGCCCCGAAATGCAAATATCTAGCAGATTCTTATTGTAATGAGGTCATTTTTTGTGTCAAATGGGCATGTAACGTGTTTCATCAAACAGGAAAAAAATTCACTGAGGGATTCTCTTGAATTTGTTGCAGTAGTAGTTGGTTAATTGCACTACAGTCTCAACATCCGAGTGGAACTCATTCTTGGCCAAAACAAACACCACTATTAAAGGTGTCCGCTGTTGGGAGGTAGTTTCTCAACTACCCTTTTGTTCATAGTAATATCATGCAAATGGTGTCAACTCCAAGACGCGCGGAAGCACTTCGTAAGCTGGTTCATACAATCAATGTAGCTAAGTTCCTGTCTCGAAAAAATTATGCGACTAAATTTACCTCCCCGCACACCTTACCGAAAAAAACAGAGGGCAACGTTGTCATGGTTCTAACGTTAAAAGTAACATCTGGTTGTAAAATACTTAACGCACTGACCTGGGAAGGCACACTAAAGAGTCTATCAGGTTTTTAAATCCACTTAAATAATGTTACCTAACAATAGGTCCTCTTGTACACCACATCATTCAGTAAACAATTTAGGGTTTTTCTAATTTTCCAAATCCATCAGCTACGCACTTTTCACAAGCCGTTTTATTGCGCTAACATCCTTTTTTATTCTTGCAATCTATAGATGCGTGTGTCCATCAGTCAGCATCAGTCCAAAGGAACTAAACCTTCGCCGCTGCTTCCTGCGCCACCCATATCCCGTTACTTTCACTTTGACCAACGAATCAAAACATCCAGCCAGTTTTCAGCTCACTGACTTGATTGCATCAAAGAGTGGGAAAGAAGAAACAGAAAATGAGAATGAATTGGAGTACTCTGTGACACAAACAGAGGTAAAGAAAACTCCATTGACCCTCATGATTAAGTTGAAGAGGAGCGCTGAATCTGTACAGAATTTCCGGTTAACTAACCAAAGCTGATGTGGGTTTCAGGAATTACTGTTACTATAAGTTTCTTTCGAATAGGGTTGACCGAGTTTACGCGTAAACACTGAAAGGTTCATAATGCTGGTGTCATTGTGGAGCAGCATTTTATGTGGATAATTATTAAAGAACCATTTTCATGCCTCGCAGAAAACATAACAAGTAAACAGCTTTCATCATCAGACCTAGCCTATGATTCTACAGTCTCCCAAGTTAGTGTCACGTTGCTCCTGTTCTTTTCTTGTCCCAGGGTAAAATCGACGCATTGAGCACCGTTTTCCTCCCAATTGTATTCAAGGCCAGATCGCTGGGTCAACTGGAACGGAATGTCAAGATAAAGATCTGCGGGCTGGAAGAGAATCCACTTGTAAGTGGAAATTGGCTGCCATAGTTTCTCAGGCTAACCAAGTGATCTGCTGTTTTAATAAGCTTGTTCCTATCCTGGTACCAGCAAACCGAATCTAGCAACTTCTGATGGGTCTCCTAGAGAAGAATTCAGGCTTGAATTACAGGTGAATCTTTTGAAATGAACTAATATAGCATATATCCCTTCAGTTGCCACTAGAGCTAGTTATTCATCCTGTCTCCTCTCTTTTCTTTTCACTCCTTACTGAGGCCATCTCTCTCATGGTGTGTTTCCGTTCTACGATGATTCGGTCAAATTCTTAAAAGCAATCATCATCACTATCATTATCATCTTTATCAACAGTATGAAATCAGTGTTCAACGCTGACGCTTTGCCGCCATGTTACCATGATCCATTAAAAGGCTTTGTCTTGAATAAAAGAATAAAACCGAATGACAAAGGGGCTTGAAGCCAGCTTACTACAATCATTTCGAGATGCATACACCCCCAGACACTCATTCAGGCAATCTGGATACAGACTGGCAAAAGGAATGCCAGTGACATTGATTAGCAACCATATTCTGAAGCGTCTCTAACAAGACGTAGTTGGAATCTCGTTATCCCCATCCCGGAAGGAAAGTAGCATCGACAACACCTAAACGTTTCTTAATCTCTTTTACACCCCTCTGCCAGGCCAAGGTTTGGCCAACTCACTGCTTCCGCCACTCCCAACTGGGAACGAAAAATAGCACTCTCTTTGGCGAACGACGGTTCGGCATGTGCAAAGCAGCTTCTGGTTCTTGATACTTTCTTCCGTGGAAATACCCGTTACACAAGCGAAAACTGGCTTTCTAACTGCCTCGTAGCGGATTGTCCCAGCTATGGTTCTGAGACAACGATTGTCGAACAGATTCGCTGCTCGAACGGGCCAAGTCTCATAGCCATACAACAAAACAACCCGCACTGTAGCTCGATACACACGTCTCTAAATATTCAGGGATATACCGCTTTGACGCCACAGGTGTTCCAACTTATCAAACGCGGCCCGCGGCCTACAGATTAGTGCATTGACCTCAATTGTCACACTACAATCAGAACTAATACAACTTCCAGGATACGTAAAATGCTCCACAACTTTGAGTGCCCTCCCTGGATTAAGTTTCGTGTTTTGTGACTGTATGTCCGCGAGCATGACCTTAAACCTTGTGGGCGCAAAGCCCATGCCGAATAACGGAATCACTTTGATCAGACCATCCGAAGATAAGCCTGCACCTTCTTTTCTTTTTCGATGACGAGAACAACGTCGTTCGCATATTCCAGATCGACAAGGTTTTCGTCGGAGTTTATTTGAACACCGGGGTTTCGGAGACCTTCCAGTGTTCATCTCATAATTTCATCGATCACGAATTTCAATAATAATGGAGAGAGTGGCCATCCCTAACGGCTTTGTGTATGAAAGCTTTTGGAGAGGTCTCCGTGCAATCCCACACGTCCGAAAGTTTGGGAATACAAATGTTCACGAACTTCCGGAGCGTTCATTGGTGGGCAAGCGTGCCAGGCAGAACAGACCGGTCAACCGAGACAAATGCACTTTGGAAACCCAGGAACACTAGGATTGTGATCACGTACGCAAGGCGTTGTTCTTGCACCTGACGAACTGTGAAGATTCGGTCAACACAACCCCCACCCGGCCGGAATCCCGCTTGCTGCTCTCGAGTCAGTGTAACTAGTTCAGTAACAGCAGCCAGCACAAGGAAACCGTTTGTCGAGGTGACGCCGGTGAAGACATCGCTCTGCATCAACCGGAATGGGGGCTTAATAGAATGCACTCATCTTCTGCAGCCTTCCAGTTTTTTTTTGAAACACGAGCTCCAGGGGCCTGCAGGAGAAGGGCATACCAGCCTACTCAAAGCACCCTCATCCTAAGCGGACTTATATACATTTATAGTCCCGGAAACCATCAAGCGATAAACCCATGGAGATCAGCTGGTATAAAGATCCAGGTCCATTTCCTTGCGTCTTTTTGAATTTCTCATTTCTGATTCTAACTTGCAATTATGCTGGATACCAACACTCAACTGACTGAAGATGAGCTTTCGAAGGCTGTGATCAAAAACAGGTAGGTATTTCACCCTGGATTCCTCCATATCCTCTCCTCACTGCAGGTATGACAAAAAACTACCATCCGGAACATTCCGTGAGCATATCCCAGTGAAAAACGGAATTTCTCGTTTCGCTTCGCAACCGGGCGAGATGCGTTTGTTCTATTGCTGCTCTACAAGATTTTATACCTTCCATTAGCGAAGAACGTCTCTCTTTTACTTAGAAGGAAGTAAAAATCAGGGGATTCTTGAAACCTACTGTCAGTTGATCAACGGAACTATATCTGTCTAACAACAATTGTTTGACAGAGCACCATTCATGTGTCATGACTCTCCTGGCTTGCAAGAAATCCCCACCGATCATGATAATTGAAGTTTTGGTTATGCTCGCCAGCGGGATAGTCGACGGTGTTGCAAGATAATTTACTGTTTGTAAGCTGCATTTCTAGATGGTTTTTCCAAAACGAGTGAAGTTGATGGCTAACTTTTCAGCCAACCCCCCAAAACTGCGTGAACGTTGACAATCTATTTTCTGCGTCCTTGTTGAAATCTTATAAAGTTCGCTATAGGGATGGTCCCTTCAACATCGTCGTGAATTACCCACTATCTTTCATTTCCAAAGAGCGTTTGGTATGTGCAGAAAACCTCCGTATTCTTCCCCAAAGAAGCCAAATTCATCCAAAAGCTACACCGATGTCTTGAACGGATTGGTGGCAGTGTGAAAATTGCCAACAAACTTCTCTGAATTCTGAATCTGCCTCATGTGAGCTTCCGTTTAATTAAATNGTTCTGGGAAAGAGTTGAGGGGGGTTTGCTGAGTAAGACTTCTCGGAACCACCCTACCATCAAACCTAAAATCTGTGCTAGAAAGCCGCAAGAATATTGTCTTCGTGTCTCGGCTTTTTGGGGCCACCAGAAGGCCTTTCTCCCGAGTGATCTGCCAGTCTCTCCGTCTTTGAAAAGAGGTACTTATTGTTGCCTTCGTCTAACGTTGGAATTACGTCGGTCCAATCAGGAGATTATCTCAGACAGCTTCAGAGGAGGGCACTCTAAAGTTACATACAATAGGCAGAGTACTTGCTAGTACGTTTTAGAACTTCCGTTTAATTACTCCTCCAAGAAATTTCACACCTGTACCTACGATCCACATTTTGTTTTGTCAGCCTCACAACCACGGAATTTGCTATGGACCAAAAAAGTTCGTATTCGGTGTCACCATGTTGACGCGTGATTGTGAGGCCGACAAGACAAAATGTGGATCGTAGGTGCAGATGTAAAATTTCTTGAGGGAGTAATTAAACGGAAGGGTTCCAGAAGAGCTTGGTAAACACTCGGTAGTTTTTATTTGGGCAACGTTTTGCTTTTGACACAAAAGCTTCATCAGGTCAAGTGAACAGGTCACCAAGTTGACCAGGTTTTAAGTAAGTCCTCTTTGGATTATTACACTAGATCAGCGTTGCGTGTCAATTAACGGCTCTTGACGACTAGTGTAGCTGCCGAAATCTTGAATTGATGGGTTGGAGGAGTTTCAAATGAGTTCCGATCGGCTCTTGTTCCCTAATCTTCCACTTCAGGGTGCCTCAATTGATGACTCACTCCGGGTGCCACTTGGCACCCGTGGTAATGTGTGTTGCGACAATTTAGTTGGGGAAGGGGAGGGGGTGGGTGAGGTCAAGTGGAATCCAGATCATGACTACTCTTCCTTCTGATAATCGCACACCAACACGTGTCAGCTCGACTGATCCAAGACCGTTCTCCACACGCTTGCCAGTTCCACGCCTTCTATTCTGTTAACACTGGGATGCTTGGTGATTTCTACCCCCTCGGTGATCAGTCTCTGTGACGTGGACCGTAGTCCTCACCTCAAAACCTCAACATTTTGTAAGTCTATTTTGTGTCTCGTGTCCAGTGCGTGTTCCGCAGTAGCCGAGTCTTACAGTAACGCTTGATATAGGACAGGGAACTACACATCAGAATCGGAGAGCATAGTAGAAAAATAAACAGGCCGCCGAGAAACGCAGATGAATATCAAGCGTTATTGATGAACTCGGGAACCGCGGAACACGTACTGGACGCGTGTTGAGGTTTTGAGGCGAGGACTACGGTCCACGTCACAGAGACTGATCACCGAGGGGGTAGAAATCACCAAGCATCCCAGTGTTAACAGAATAGAAGGCGTGGAGCTGGCAAGCGTGTGGAGAACGGTCTTGGATCAGTCGAGCTGACACGTGTTGGTGTGCGATTATCAGAAGGAAGAGTAGTCATGATCTGGATTCCACTTGACCTCACCCACCCCCTCCCCTTCCCCAACTACATCGTCGCAACACTCACAATCCCACGAAGACCAAGGAAAATCTACTAGTGGCACCCGATGTGAAACATCAATTGAAGCACTCTGAAGTGGACGATTAAGGAACAAGAATTGGTCGGGATTCAGTTGAAACTTCCCCAACCCATCAATTCGAGATTTTGGCAGCCACACTAGCCGTCAAGATCCGTTAAGTGACACTCAACACTGATATGGTGTGATAATCTATAGAGGACTTACACATTGGTTCCCCGTCTACCTTGAAATCAGGCCAATTTGGTAACCCGTCCACTTGGCCTGATGAAGCCTTTGTGTCAACACCGAAACATTGCCCAAATAAAAACTACCGATTGTTTACCGTGCCCTTCTGAAATGATGGCTTCTCAGTCGTTTCCAAACCTTTTCCAATGGATTGTAAACAGAAGATTACCACTACAAACTCAACTAACAGCTCATACATTGCTCTATACTGGTAATCTTTGCAGAAATCTTGAGCCGAATAACACAAAATTAAGACTTGTTGCCGAAAATGAAAACTTTAACAGTGGAAATAAACACAACTAGCCAGTCATCAGTCTGCTTAACTACAACCCGCATCTTTCCTAAAAATGAAACGGGCCATTTACTCGTACAAGTAAGTGAGCACAAGTGACGCATCAAAACTACTTAATTTTCGACCGATCTGTCTACAGATTGCTCATGTTTCGTGCACCGGAGAAGGACCCGTACTATACATCGAACCCACGTCTCTGAACTGGGGCACAATTCCAGTGCTGGAAGCTTCAGATAAGACAGTGAAAATCACCAATGAGTCAGCTATCCCGGCGTCTTTTACCATTCGGATGGTAAGTTGCACGCTTTGGTGTGTGTGTGTGTGTGTGTGTGTGTGTGTGTGTGTTGAGCAGTCATCACTTTGCTGTTCTATGTGATCGTGGTGGTTAGTCTGAAGGAGACAAAAGCTACTTTTGTGCTGCTCTGCAGTATCTCGGCCTTATTGGTATTCGAAAATTTCAGTCAACTGAGGTCCCAGATAGAAGCAGTAAGTAGTACTTCAGCCAAACCACAGAACTGTGTTTGAGAAGCATACGTCCAATGTGTATATCCAATCAGTGCTGGATATCTACCAGCTAAGGATTTTAAATTCTGCTCAGTCAGAAAAGTGCGTCGCCGTCAATGAACTCTGATGATAGTGAAACTAGGACCCAGGATTTTCGGTCCGGTGTGAACTGGCCAGAATAATTACACCATAAAATGTTCATACAAGAATAATGTGGTCACAAATTCAGTTTTATTTGTGAGTTGGGTCACACGCACACACACCTACTTTGTGGTGCTGAAAGGCATCAACTAGGGAGACGCAGCGAAATTACAGTTGGGACGCGATGAAGGTGAAAGAATCGGAGCATAGCTGGTTTCCTCGTGGTGGATAACCCGGAACTAACTCTCTTCAGGTTACGTGACAGCTAGAGTCCGAAAGTTCCCCTATCTTAACGAAGCGATCTAACTTGGGTTGGTATACCAGTTCGAACTTGATAAACAGTCTATTTTCGATTACTGCAAGTGTACTAGGTAACCTGCGTAATATATAGTTAAGACCTTCCAAAACACTCGGTGACCGTTCGTGCTACACAATCCAAGTACTGAATTGAAAAACAGTTTGGTTCTCAGTAACCTCGTTCGTACGTTTTACGCTGCTTCATATTAGGTTCTGATTGAGCGCATTTTTGTTTGTGTTTGGCCAAAATCCTCAGCGGGATTGTAGACGCTGCATGTATAGCCCTTATGTTTTTCGAAAATTTTAGGAAGTATCATCCAGAATAAGAAAACCACCTCTGACTCCCAACATAATGGTCCAAACTTGAAAAATATCTAAAATAGGAGCCAAATAAAGCTATTGTTATGGACTGAGGGGAATTTTCTAACATTGTTCCTTTGCTTGAGATTTCTGGGCTAAAGATTTCTTGTCTATTTAATCAGGTTAAACAAAGAACAAACTTGCATATGTAGGTTGTGGAGGCATTTCATCTTGTGTTCATCATTTTGTTAGCTACTCAGTTTGTGTTTTAGCAGTTCAGGTGTTTCACTCAACTTGAAATCATATTACGGTTGTGAAAGCATGACTGGTTTGCAGTGGTGTGCACTCTGCAGTAATCCTGCAGAAGGACGAAAATCAAATGATCAATATTTTCCGACATTATTTTTTCAAGGTCGCTCCAGACAGCATTTTTCGCGCTATTCCGGATGCGGGTGTGGTACCCCCACTGGGACGAGTTGACGTGACGATTTCTGCTGTCCCAGACGATCTGATCACGTTCAAAGATCAGATGGAGGTGACAGTTTCCGACACATTAGCACCAAGACAGGTAAACTTGATGGCTACTGGTCAGGGGTGTACTTTTGTCTCTGACCCTGTCATGCCTGAGACCCTGCATTTGGGCACGCAATTTAGTGCAAGACCTGTGCATGCCACTTTTCATCTGACCAACAAAGGTAGACGGACTCAACAACTCATTTGGACTATTGAAGGACAATTTGTCAGAAAATCTTCTCAAGGAAGCTTGAAGGTAAGCGCTGCATTTCATTTCGGGAAATATGTCGGTCTTAAACGCAAATGTATATTATTCAGACTACTGATGACCAGACCACTAACTGTCATCTATTGGATACCTGCTATTACATATCTACTTAATAGCAAAAGAGTGTCTTGCCTAATTGGTAATCGATCAGCATTTATTTTGTGTGTAAGTTCACATGAACTGCCACCCATGATAGCGAGATTAGCAGATGGAATAAAATGCTATCAAGAAAGAAAACGCGTCCACGGCTAGTTATTTTCTCGTCAGCCACCACGAACGGTGCTGCTGGTGCAGACATTTGTCCTGTTCCAACTAGTGAGAAGTACTTATCGGGTGCAGGATTAATTACATTCGGCACCTTTACCAACAGTGTATTGGCGCCTAACGAACCGTCTGAAGTACCGTTCCCTGACTGCCGTTTAGCTGTAAGTTCCGGGATTCTGTGTGGAATTCCTACAGTAATAAATGTCATATACTCCATTCAAAGGAACCCACTTAATTAGGTGATAGTCGTTGCCAGACTTCTGTGTGTTAAAGGTTTTGTTGAGGATCAACTCGGTGCGATCCACAAGAAATCGTTAATGTATTCAAGATTACGCGTAGAGCCAAAGCAGAGAACTAGTTTTGGTCATATGCACCTTGTAATGACTCTTCAGCGCGCGATGGGTGCCATTACTCCACTCACGTATAGTCACTGATTAACGGCGTAGAACTGTATTGTCTACTATAGGCCCGAATGTTCTCTAGAGAGTGGTTTGAACGTGAGACACAGGACCCCAAGATTACCTTATCCTGAGGAATCTACCCACCGTACGCTGTATCCGCTAATAATAATAATAAACTCTGAGTGCCTTTTATCCCGAAGGTAGCCATCACAATTGGCCTCAGCTCCTCCGAGGGTGACCCAGCAGTGAAAGCCACTTTGATGAAGAGTTTCAATACAAACGTCTCCGTTCAGATATAAGTTGCCTTTGGAAAAAATCCTTTCCCCCGTGGTGATCTTCTGTTTGATTACTGCGTATTGAGCTGGCTTTGCACTACATAAGTTGCCTTTGGAAAAAATCCTTTCCCCCGTGGTGATCTTCTGTTTGATTACTGCGTATTGAGCTGGCCTTTGCACTACATTCTGCACGGCTTGATCTCGACAAAATTAAACGAATTAGGTTGCTTGTGTTGGACTACGTTGACGCAAAACCATCCATCTGGACTTGTAAAATATCGTATAAATCGTACATGTACACTCCGTCCTACACTACTCCTAATTATTGTTGAAAGCCGGAAGAACTCGAAAGTCACTGGTCATTCGACTCGACAAGGTTTGAACTTGGCCCCGGTGGGAGCAGAAGTTTAACTCTGGAAGTTGTTTGCAGCAGGTGAGTCCAAGTTCATCAGCTGCATCTATTGGATAAATTTTTGCGCTTTTTGATCACCTCACCTCAAATTTGAAGTCGTCGAAACTCTCAGGCTGTTCTTTTAGATCATTATTAATTATTTATTTCCTGTTTATTTCCCAATCTCACCTGACTGGTAAGCGCAACAATATGTGACAAAGAATGGTGAATTATCTAGAATAAATGCTAGACAAGTTGATAAATGCACCCTCTTTGATATCAAAAGGATGGGTTCTTTTAATTACTGACTGGTCAGAACATTTTGAAAGTTGGCGGAGAACCGGGATGTTTATCTCATTTGGCATCAATCCTTACGTACCAAGTCAGTAGCGCCAACTCTATCCAGGAGCCACCACAACGGGTGTAATCGGTACCCGGAACTTTCAGTTATGGGAAGCTTTATTGTAACCTATCCGGTGAAGGCTAAATGATCCTTCGTATGACAGTTTCAGACTTTTGTTCCTACCGGTCAGTACTGATCACTTTAATACGGAAGCAAACAAATGTGTCTCGAGCGGTACCTTGTTCTGACTTGAAGAGGACGCCACTGAAGTTCAACCGTGTAACACAAGCTATTTTATTTTGACTTATAGACCAATGCTAGCGAAACGAAGGATATTCTGCCATCATATCATTGGACGCAAGGGTGTGAAGACACTGGTAAAGACGGTGGATGTTAGCGTTGAATTCATTGCTCCGCTGGTTCATCTGTCCCATCAACAATTGACCTATCGGGTTGTCAAAGTGAGTGATGTTTTGCCACCCATGGTTTTGCGCCAAATTGAAAATGATGGACTTTTAAACCGATGACTAACTTGTGAGTTTTGCCAGCTGATTACCAAAGGACCAGAATCTATTTGATACTGTCAATCCAACCAAATATTGAGCTGTTTTCATTAGCCAAAAGACAAAAGAAATAACGCTCCATCACTTTGTTTGTTCTAGGAACCGTACGATACGCTGAAAACACAACTTCAGACGTTGAACATAAAGAACGATTCTGGGATACCACTGACCTGTCGTCTGGAAATATCTGAGCCCTTCTATTTAGTCGTGGACGGGGCGTGGATTTCACATCAGGTTAGTTGGCGTTGATCAAAGAAGCACTTGTTATTCCTACTAGTGAGGTGCTGTTTTGATTTGACGGATATCGGTTGTAAACTTATGTTACATAACTCGTGAAAATTTATGAATCGTTTCATAAAGCTTTTACTGACTATTTTCAAACCTACCAATTTCCGGAACCAAGAAATTTATGAAAATGGTTTCCTTCCTGAAGATATTACTGATTTTCTAGGTTTTCGAAAAAGGCGTCTTTGGGGTAGAACCGACGATTGGCTTCAGACGAATTTCGAATCCACTGGTTGGCATCTTGTCCAAATTTCCTTTAACTGAAAACTTGCGGCTGTTACGGTTCTGTCACGCAGTGAGCAAACAATATGATAATGCGGATTGTGGCAATACTCTATCCCCAGCTATGTTGCTTGATCCAGACTCCTAGCATGGTGAATAGTAAGAAGACGAAAAACCTCGGACACAAACTTTAATAACCCAACAACACACGATCAACAGG